CCCCCGTTGCTTTCTCTGCCCGCCCCCTTTACAGCGTCGTGAACAGCATCAAGAAGTGGGTCGACAACTATGCCGTGGACTTCCTCGAGAATCCGGAGATGACCAAGACCCTGCAGGCATTCATGTCCTCCATCGACCCGTCCGACACGGCCTCCGTCTTGCATCTGGGCCGCGCCCTGGACCGCCTGCTGGCGAACAACCCGGCCGACCGGAATGGTCGCGGCCGTGGGGGCGCCCTCTCGGTGGAGGAGCTCACCCAGTCCGAGGTCTCGGCCGTGGCCCTGGCCCGTGCTCGTCTCGACCAGGCCAAGGACTCTTCCCAGGGCGGCCAAGACCGCCAGGGGACCAACCTCGACCGTCTCATCGGCCGCTGGGCCAACCCCCGGCCCTCGGCCCCCATCGCCGGCACCCGATATGCCTCCTTCCTGGAGATCGACCCGCTGGAGTTTGCCCGGCAGCTGACCATGATCGAGTTCGAGCTCTTCTGCCAGATCCGCGCCCAGGACTTCCACGACCTGGCCTGGATGTCCAAGAACAAGGAAACGCTGGCCTTCGGTGCCACGCAGCTGACGCGCTGGTCCACTCGTGTGCGTCCACTTCTCATGCATCTCGCCGCCCCGTGCGCGCCCCTCATTCGTGATGGCGATGAGAGAGCACGGGCAGCCTTCTTCCCCCTTGTCAATGCCGATCCTCTCCTTGCTCACCATCCTGCCTCTCTCTACCTCTCTTCCCCCCTCCCCCCTCCCCCCCCCCCGGCTGGCTCATCACCACCTGGACAGATCTCCCACTGGGTCATCACCGAGATCGTGTCTCACACCAGCGACATCAAGGCCCGCGCCCAGTGCTACGAGCGGTTCCTCGTGATCGCCGGGCACCTGGACAAGATGAACAACTTCAATGGCTGCATCGAGATCCTGACGGCCCTCAACTCGTCGCCCGTCTACCGACTGAAGAACACCGTGGCCTACCTGCCGACCAAGGTCCGCCGCGAGTCGGAGAAGCTCTTCCGTTCCTTCAGCTCGGACCTCAATTACAAGAACCTGCGCCAGCGTGTGCAGCAGCACAACGATGTCCCGCTCATTCCCTTCCCCGGTGTGTACATGCAGGACCTGGTCTTCCTGGATGGCGGCGCCAAGAACTTCCTCGACGAGGACAAGGGCGTCATCAACTTCATCAAGCATGCCACCGCCTCGCGGTACATCACCTCCCTGCTCAAGCACCAGAAGCTCGAGTATACCTTCGAGATCAAGAAGGAGATCCGGGACTTCATCTGCACCGGCCTGCCCATCATCCAGTCCGAGGACGAGCATTACAACCTGTCGCTGCAGTGCGAGCCTCGCGGCACGAACTAATGTCACATCGGCCGGGTGGCAGGCGGGCAGCTCGAGGTCCGAGCACCTGCTGTGTGTACTGTGCACATATGCCCGTACACACGCGGCGTGCCCGTGCGCTCGTTGTGGCTGTGTTGGCCGGACTTCCTCTGCTCCCTTTGTGTCCTGCGCGGTGTCCTCCCCGGTCGCTCCACTGTCCCCTCCCCCCTTCCTCTTTCTGTATCTCCCTGCTCCCCATGCTATTCCCCCCTCCCCCCCCCCCCAATCCTTGGTCCTTCTGTATGTATGCAGGTTGCTCCCCCCGGTGCATATGCCGCCCACCAGCGGCGGCGTGGCGTGTGCCTCAGCCGGTCGAGCGCCCTTTCCTTCCACTGTCCCCTCCCTCCCCCCCCTTCCCCCATATACCTTCCCATGGGTGTCGGGTGTGCAATGCACGCATCACATTTGTACACATGCTCCTCTCTCCTCCGTGCTGTCCGCTGCGCGTGCGCTGAAGCTCTTTTCATCTTTCCTGCGGCTCCCCCGCCGCCCCCTGCTCTGGATGTCACATGAT